ATACTGCCACTGTTCTTTTGAAGAAAATATCAGGTTACATGCATTGAGTCTGTTTTAAAAGACTGAACCAGGAAGAATTCTATTGGCATTTAAAACGCTGTTTATACACTGGTTATAGAAAAATGCACATATACATGTATCTTAATAGAGAATAACTCAAGGTTATAGATAGCTAGCTTTAATTTGCAAGTCATATTTTGACGCCTTGTGTAATTTGGCTTCGGGATCATGACACAAACTTAGACTTCAGTCAAGTTTTCAAAAGCATGCAATTTTGATCTGCTTTACCTACTCAACATTAAAGTTTAATATAAAGATTTTGACTTAAGCTTCGTATGTTTTTATGATCCCCGGGCCTGACTTCCAGGTAATTTATAAAAAAATAATAGCATTTAGCGGTCAAAATAGTTGATTGAATTTCAAGTATCTAGTGTACTTGCCGATAATTAAAAACAATCCTTCTAAAATTTTCTTCCAGGGACAGAAATTGCCATTTCTTTCGTAAACATGTTTAACTAACTGGTTACAATTTATGTACACATGTACATGTATTTTCAAATACTTTGTAAACAAGAGTTTCTTTGGCAATAACATAACCTGAGTGACTTTGTCCTATTTTTAAATCAAGTAACTTTGCAATAATTGGAAATTAAATCCTCTGAATAATCTGCCGCCTACAGAATTGTTTGCCTGAACTGTCAAACATGTTTGTAAACAATTTACTCTGGTATGGAAACATGTATGGTTCCTGTTACAATAATTCATCTGTTACTGTTGATTTTAGTTGAATCTGGATGAAATAAAACCAAATGTAAAGATGGAGATTTTTTTTTAACTTGGATTAATATTATTGACGTTTGAAGGTACATGTAGGACACAATAGATAGGCAAAATTTTCCCTCAAATTTAATTTTTCTGAAAATTTGATATTTTTTTCTAGGATACAAAATCTATCTTTATACATAATATGAAAGAAGGATATGGAGATAACGAACAGTATTCAATTAGAGCAGAGCAAAAACGGATCCCCGAAGCATCAGAGGTGTGATCAGGTGCCATTGAGGAGTGAGCATTCCATGTCGACCGGTCACACCCGCCTTGTGCTCCTTGTCATGATTGGGAAATAATGGAAAAATCTGTCGTCAATTCAGTTATAAATAATGGACTAACAAATTGTATGAAAAACGTCAGTCAGCATTTGACTCAATGATCAACAGTATTTGCTGACAAGGTCATTGTATCGACCATAGAACTTACGAAATGATGACTTTAAACAAGACTGCTGATATTCTTGTTTCGTTAACTTGCTTGTCAATAATATACCTTGCTTTAGAAATTGTTCATAAGACGTAGAGCATGCTATTGCGTATTGAATCAACTGAGATATATATATACTCCGTAAGGAAAGAAAATCAACCATATATGTTTTGCCCACATCGTATGAAAATTGGCCTATCAGACCCCCGTAGGATTGTGAAATCAGAGATTCAACTTAAAAATGAACCTTATTTTAAAATTTCAATTGATCCATTGCAAAGGATGACTGCACTTAAGGAAACTTAGAAATTGCGACATAATTAATTTTAAAACTGGGCAATTTTCTTTTATTGGTAGAAATGGTCAATGTCTTAACTGCAACTTTGTGTAATTACGTTAATTATAAGTTCGTATTAACGAAGTTCGAAGTCGTTTTTATAGGAAGGGGTCATCGCATATGTTGAAATCTCCATAGGATAATGAGTACGCCCACCTTTTTACAGGCTTAATACATAGTCAGCGCATGTTTGTCTATTGTTCTCCTTTTTATGGTAGTTGTTTATTTATATGTATTACCTCATATTAAAAGGAGATCAATAGACAAACATGTGCTCATGGTTTAAAAGAGAAAAAAACTGTTTTAATTCAGATCGTCGAGTAATATTATAAACTTATTATTATTAATAACATGAATAAAACACATTGAATTCTGAATAATTATTGTATGTATATTTCAATTACAATGTTTCATTCAAAAGTTATCAAATGAATTATGCAACGTTTTAATGTGGGTAATGAGCCCCATACTTAAGATCCCTTAGTTGCTATTTCGTAAATATTCAACCAATCGCGAGGACAGTGATTAAAAAATATATTGTTTGACAAATTCAATTAATAAATTGAAAAGTGTAGTATACTTGTATACGTTTGCTATTCAATAAAAGTTTATAATATTACTCAACGATCTGAATTAAAATATTGTAGAACACTGATGAAGGAAAAGCCTAGTTACCCATCCAATTCAGAACTACTTTAAATCTTAAGGTGCTGTAAACTAAATGTTATAAAAAAAAAAAAAAACGTCATTTTAAACTAACGAGTTTGTATTATTTTTTTTTTTCATTTCATAATTGCTATTTATGGTTTCAATACTTTTTGTCCATTATCGATAGTGAAGTAGAAGTTTATAATATTACTCGACGATCTGAATTAAAATATTGTAGAACACTGATGAAGGAAAAGCCTAGTTACCCATCCAATTCAGAACTACTTTAAATCTTAAGGTGCTGTAAACTAAATGTTATAAAAAACGTCATTTTAAACTAACGAGTTTGTATTATTTTTTCATTTCATAATTGCTATTTATGGTTTCCATACTTTTTGTCCATTATCGATAGTGCAGTAGAAGTTCACCCAACCGAAAATGTCCAATACAGACAAGGAAGTATAATTAGCGTCTTTGAGAGGTTTTTATAGCTTTTCATGCGTACATGTAATAAATGAACCTTTAGATTTCAATCAAGCTCTTTAAATATTTAATATGAACACGCCTTTGTTATGCCATTGTGTAAATTGATTATAAAATGGGATATTTCCCCTTTTGGTCTAAAATATATCTCTTGCAATCATTCAAGTTCTTTCAATAACTTCATATATGCTGTCTTGAGATATATGGTCGAAATCTAGTCCATCGAATTATATTAATCACAAAACTTCGATTACAATAACCAGAAATCTCTGTCGAGACTGTAACTCTACCGGTAAGTAGTTACATTGTATAATTAGGGAGGATAAATGTAGCAATAGGGACTTAAAACATACAACAGGAATAAAAATATTAATGATCATTGATTAATTCTCCTTCTGGCAAGATTGCAAATAGACTAATAATGTAGAAGTAACCCTGAATAAAATTTTACAGAAATTAAATTTTAGTACGATGTACCATGACAACACCATTCATCAATATATGTTAAAAAAACAAAACAAAAAAAAGACAATTATGTATCTCAGTGCAGTGTAATTGAATCCCCAACATATATTATAATAAGACTGAATATATTTTAGGAAAAGCATTTCAGGGGAATTCCACAATATTTTTCTTTTAGTAACCAGGGCAACAGCGTTCATCGAAAATCAATAACCGATACATGGATATACATGTATGTGTCTTAGTAAAGTCAATCTGAAATCAGAATGAAACTGAGGAGGAGTAGCATTTGGAAAGTATTTTGCAGAAATATCTATTTTTAGTAACCATGGCAACACCGTTCATCGAAATCAAAAACCGATAACCAAAATTATGTATCTTAGTGTAGTCTACTTGTTTGCTGTGGAGGAACACAAGAAAGTACCATGTTTCTATTGTCCGAGGGGACACACAGAGTATCAGACGTTTTGATTGAGGGGGTGCATAAAATACCTATGATTTCTATAGTATACTTTACATCGGCAAAATATATTGCATACTTTAGCTATATATCGACAATTTGTAAATATCATTCGAAGACATGAAAAACGAAAGAAAACATTAAATTCAGTATATCACAGTCATCCTGCTTTATTAAATAAAAACATTGATTGCGGACATCTTTAAATTATGTTACGGTCATCATTGAAAAGATTATACTACATATCTATTTTCTTAGGTAAGTTTCAGCAGAATTTACACAGATATGCTAACAAAATATTTTAAAGCTTGAATGAAATATTTCAAGCGCTCGGCTGGGCCGACATGTTTTGGAGATCGCATACTATATATTACGGTCATTGACTTCCCTACTGTTCTCAAGGACAAACCAGTTGTGTTCGGTAAGGACATCGTAATCGGCTAATCGCTAATATGATTGAATCGGACTCTCAAAGGCGGTTACGTAAATTATAAAAAAGAAAGCTTAAGTATGTTGAGAAACCTTATGTTATAACATGTTTTTTTTTTATCAGATATTGTTTTATTGGTACAAATGATACAAATGGTGGAAAATGTAAATTTTTAAAAATTTCAAAATAAAAAAGGGAAATACTTTGGAATAACCATCTTTTATCGGATATTGAGGCTATTATTAGAAACAATCATGCAATAAAAATCAAATATACTTCTTAGGTGTAGAGGTGCTCTATAGCATTGAAAGCCTTTAAATGTTAACAACTCTATGGCAATATTCTTATGCACAAAAAGTGTATATATTTATGATATATCATTTCGATTAATCATATCTATGGAGTTTATATTCACATACCCCCTTAAAACAATGTCCATATGCACGTAATTTATTTTTTTTATCTTACAGTTTACCTTTTAAATCTATTTTTTAAATGTAGCAAAGTTTCAACTTTCAAACAGAAATCCTCTTTACATCAGGAAAAAAACCCGACATACACGAAACAATTATCAAGTTTTACAAAATATTTAGTGTTTATTGAACCAGTTTTATTTTGTTTGTAAATATCGTGTGGTCTCATGCTCTATATCTAAGGGTTAATTATTGATCCTTATGTCGTTGGTTCCAATTTCTCATTTGATCATTTAGAAGTCCACTTTAACATTGCATGCCTTTGTATTTAAACAGCTCCATGACGATATCCCAATGCACGTACAATGTAATCTTTGCACAAAACAATTTTCAAATTTTAGAAAATATTTTACATTTGAACATCATCAATAAACTATTTATATTGCCTCTTAAGGCAGCTTCAAAGTAAATAATATATACAAATTCAGTAAAAAAAGAATAAGTAAATATTAGAACAGGTTAATTGTATTTATGTGCAAGAGAGGATGAAGTTAAATGTTGTCAATATCTGTGATATTTATTGGCGTCCTCATGACGAGATCCTCCGCTAGATTTGAAGTGATGCAGAGGTGCGTGCGCAACGTAGTAATTTCTGTTGTAGGATGAGGACGATTTGACCTTGCTCTGAGAATCTGTGTCTTGTTTTCCCGCCAAGGCAAGGTCTCTCTAGTTTCTAATTGGTTCATTGTCTTCCTGTTGTTTCTTGTTTTGTTTATTCCTATGTAATAATTATATAAAACACTTATGTGACTGAATATTTTTAAAAGTGTCGAAACGTTACTATTTAAACAATTGACAGTAATTGAAAGGCGTTTTATTTAAAAGTGATTTGAAAATGATGAAGATAGTCTGTAACTGAGGCAAACATATACGAAAGACTTTTTATACAATTCAATTAAAATGTTAGCTGTTTTTCTCATCGTTCAATCACAAGTAATAAAATTTGCCAGCCCCCTAAAAATTAAAAAAAATGAATACTTACGATTTACTACATTTTCTGGCTACCAGTCCTATGATTATCATTAATAAAACTATTCCAACAACGGAAGTGGAGGCTCCAACGATCAACTGGGTGTTTTCAATTTTTGACGTAGTCGATTCTTCTATGGTATCTTTTGCGTTAGATGATGTAGTAGTGCCCACAGGTTTATTGGATGTTTCTGTTGATTTCGAAGTTGATGTACTAAGGGTTGGTTTAGGTTTACTTGTTGTTGTAGCTGGAGATGTATCTTCTTTCGCAGTTGTTTTGCCGTCAGTACTTATTATTGATGTTGTTGTTGATTCGGAAGTTGATAATGTTTCTTGTAGTCATTTTCTTGTAGTTGTCGTCGTCACTGTCAGATGTTGTTTTTGTAGTTGATGGCGATGTGATTGGTTGAATAGTTGTTAAGCTTTCAGTTGTTGTTTCTTTGTTTGATGAAGTTGATGGCAATGTGATTGGTTGAGTAGTTGTTAAGCTTTCAGTTGTTGTTTCTTGGTTTATTGTAGTTGTTAATCTTTCGGTTGTTGATGTCTGTTGTAGTTGTTGTGATTGGTTCAGTAGTTGTTAAGATTTCAGTTGTTGCTTCTTTGTTTGTTGTTGTTGTCGGGTTCGTAGTGAATGTTTCCAGTGTCGTTGATGCCCTTGTTGTTGGATTGGATGTTGATTCAGTTGTTGATATCTCTGTAGTTGTATCTGCAGTTGTGGTATGTACATCTTCCGTCAACTCTGCTGACTCAGTTGATGTTGTTGTTGTCGACGCTAATGTTGTTGACTCAAAAGAAGAAGAATCCAAAGATGTGAACTTGTTCTCGGCACTTGTGACTTGAGAGGTTATTATTGTATATGTTGTTTCAACTTGTTCAACAGTCGTTATAGAACTTGTAGTCTCTTCCATTTGTTCTGTTGAGCTACTCAATGTGGATTCTGCGTCAGTGAGAATCATTTTTGTTGTCATACTTTCTGTTGTTGTTATTTATCCACATGCTACATAGATAAAAAAAAATAAAATTCAAAATACTTATCTGTAGTACATGTACTGCCAATGATTTATATTGTAAATCAGATGGCATTCAAAATTATACAATGCAAAGGGAAGTATGAAGAATAACGTTTCATTATGAAAGATTGACACTTGCATTCGTTTTCTGTCCAGTTGAATTTATCATTCGTCGCATTGCAGTAAAGACACTCGTTGGTTGAACTATTCTGCATGGGGCTAATGCATGTACTATCGATGTAACAGAAATCATCCTGCAAATAATATAAAAACTAGATTTATTCCGTTTAAAGAATGCAGTATGCAAGGTCAAATAGACTTTTCAAATCGCTAGAGAAATTAATATTTCGTTTAATCGTTGTTTTCCCACACGAAAGATATGACTATATATGAATATGTTACTTTACGAAATTAAATGCCAACGAGAGAGAGAGAGAGAGAGAAGAGAGAGAGAGAGAGAGAGAGAGAGAGAGAGAGAGAGAGAGAGAGAGAGAGCAGCACGTACCTTTAAGGTGAAATACACATTCCCTGATTCATTATGGTACTCCTGACAGTGAGATTGGTATATAATAACATTATACGTGTCTGTATAACGTACTCCGTCATTAGAAATGTTAAACTTTACTTCTGTCGTCCAGATGTCAGTTGTATCGTACGGAAGTGGACAGAATCCCTCAAAAAGTGTTCTCTCTTGTAAATTCATCTGTCTTTCCTCACTTTCTTCCGTTTGGTTAATTTTGGTCTGAAAAAGAAAATAACAAAGTTGCAGAAAAAGGATATGATGCTATTATCTAGTTGTACGAACACTTATATTAACACTGAAGGATTGATTGTGTGCCATTTTACATCCCATTTGAAATTATATCCCATTTTTAACTTTTGAAAAAAGCCACCATATAGCGGTGAAGAACTTCAAGAGTGTAGATGTACTCGGCCATTGAGTAAGGTTTAATAATCGGGAAAATTTCTACCATATCAAATGAACTTGTCTTCTCAGGTCACATTTAAGAGACAAGCAACTTTCGATTTTAAGTTTAAAACATTTGATGAATGAACAGACACTTCATTTACACATTATCTTAGGTATGTCGAAGCCGCATATTAAATCGATCTACACATTGAACGTCTATTTTATATACAAATGACAATCAGAAGTACCTGTTTCACAGTAAGATAGCATATTGAGTTCATGTTTTCAAAGAAATATTTTCCCATTATTGTTGCCTCTTTACAGGTTTTAGTGGACCGATCGCACAGACCGGCCCCGGGAACACTTGTTATGGTAGGAGGTGCGAGTAAATCAAAGGAACAGTCGCTCCCTCCAAAGCCAGTGTCACAGGTACAGTTACCTTAAAATAAAAATAGGGAAAATATTTTATCCACATCTGAGACGATCGTCATAGAATTAATGACAAGGAAATCATTGTAACATATAACATTCTTATAATTTATTCTTAAAATTTTACAAAAAAAATTGAAGCTACTGTCAAAAATTATTTAATCTTATTTTTTATCTGTCAGATTTTGCAGATTCTTTTCTTTTCAAATGAGAAGATAAGCAACCACAGTGTCTTTATTCGTATGCTTTAATAATGGCGTACCACCATCACACGTGCCATGTCCGGTACAATTGCTTGGACAGAGGTTTTGTATTGTATACGTTACTTCCGGTTCTGCCTCTTGCAGTGTGGCATTTAAAAGCACAAATGTGGAACATTGCTGTAGGGCGGCTTCAACGTGAATCTGTGTTAGGTTATCATCGCCTGTCATCTGAAAACAGCTTTTACAGAGTAACATTGCATTGTTCTATTCAAACTTCTTCAATGCATAAAAAAGACCACTGTTTCTGAACAAAATAATTGATATTAGACGAAAAGATACTGCAATATATGCCCCAAATTTCCTATATTGTTTTTCTAATTAACCTACTCTTATGTCTTCAATGCAGTTGGACAAGGTTACATTACTAAGGTCATTCACGTGTTGTTGACAAGTGTTGTATTCAGGTGAATTTTCAAAAGCCTGGAGACAAACTCTCTCTGAGTATTCAGTCGTCTGTACGTAGGAAATCGTGCGTTTCATTCTCTGAAGTTGTTAAATGAATAACAATTTATCAAGATGATACTATCGTTGGTTTTTCGCAGAAGATTGTATCTTTATTTTAATTAAATTAGTATGATATTAAATATTTTGACTTGAAAACATAATGAATCTAAAGGTTTTCATGACGCAAATAACTTCAAAGTATTTTAACTTAATAATTGAAATAAATTTTAGGAATTAATTACATACAAGTAAAGGATCTCTTTCCATAGACATATCGGAAACATCCCGCTTTCGTCTTCTGTTCTGTACAAGATCTACATTACATTCGTACTGTTTGCCTCGGTTTGAGTTGCAGGGTGTAAACGTATTGTAGGAGCACTGGGTTTTACCGTCCTCCGTGCATGCGCAGTGAGGTACTAGAATTGAGGACACTGATTGCAAACCGCTATAAACTAAGGAGCTACCACTGAAAAGATTTTCGTTGTCTGGAATCCTACGTACAAAGGAAATGGTAAACAAATTTTATTTGACATCGGATCAATCACGTTATATTACTTTTTTTTGTAAACGTTGATCTTTAAACTTACATCCATGACCTAGAGAAGTCATTAGGATAACTCTGACTGATGTCGTCTGTAATGGTACTATTTCGTCTTCTGAAGTCGTTTTCCCTGTCACCATCAAAGTATCCACATAAACCATCAGCATTTCCTATATCCATTGCAGAGGGGAGAATCTCAAGGTCGATGTTATAATGTCCACTCCATTCCATGATATAGATTGCAAGTGACGTGCCAGTGGGGAAATATATCTTGATATGCATAAAATTTTTCATAAAAAGAGTTACAAAAACGTACATAGAAAACTATAAACCTTATTGATGTCGAACCTGGGCTTAACTGGCCCTTTTTGGTACAAGGTCCTGACCCCTTTCAATTGGGAATTTTAAATCAAAAAAGGCAAATTTTGGAGATATTTATGTTTAATATCAAGTTTTCTTGATGAATAGAGTTTAATTGTAAGTCACATGCTATTCACAATTTAATGAGTTAGTAAAACCTCAATATTCAATTTTTTTCTAGAATAAACTATGGAAATTTTAATGTGTTTGTTATTTGGGAATTTTTACCCACATTCTGGGAAAAATAAGTAAAGATATTTTCAATTGGGATGGGGTCCTTTTGCAGTATCTGGAAGCAAGACTGATTAAACCCTGTCTAAAATTCAAAAGTCGTCCTTTCAGACTGAAACCGAAAACAAGAGGCCCCTGGGCCACATCGAACACCGGAGTAACATTGGTGGTGGTGTTCTTTACTTGTATCCCTATTTTGGCATCGCCCTTCGGGGGATGAGGTAGGGAGGGGGGGGGTCACCATTGTAACAATTGAGAATCTACACTACCCTAGGATATTTCCACATTGCTCACCGGAGTAACATTGGTGATGCTATTCTTTACTTGTATACATGTACCTATTGTGGCCTCGCCCTCCGGGGGATGAGGTAGGGAGGGGGGCACAATTGTAACAATTTAGAATCTTCACTTCCCCAAGTTTCAGCTTTTCTGGCCCAGTGGTTCTTGAGTAGAAAATTTTAAAAGTTTTTTTCCCTTGATTTCTATGTAAAACTTGGATTCCCTATTGTGGCCCCGCCCAACCTCCTTGGGTCATGATTTGACGAATTGTGAATCAACACTACACCAGGATGCTACCACATAAGATTCAAATCGGCCAAGTTGTTCTTGAGAAGAATTCAAAAATGTGAAAAGTAAACAAATGAGCAAACAGACATACAGACGGACGGACGGACGACGGAGACAATATGCTCAGAAAAGCTCACTTGAGCTTTCGCTAAAAAGTGTTTAATTCATTTTATGCCCTGTCGAATATAGGTGTAAGTCTTAGGATATATAGCTTTTACCCTGCTATTCAGTCCGCCTGTCCCAAAAACCATGATCCATGTCCATAACTTTTGAATGGCAGATGCCTAGGGTTTTTTATAATACTAATGTATATTCCTAGTGATAAGACATTTGTTTGAGTTTTAACAATCGATGGCCGTTCTAAAATTACGCGAACTTGTTGCACAGAAAAAAATATTTGACGACATAATCGTGCAAAATGTCACACAGAATATAAAAGAATCTTTACTTATATGGTCTTCAAAATTGCATATCAAAATGTTGTAAAATGGTATCAATTTTTGGCGATTTTTTCGGGACATATTATTAAGTCACTGAGCAGCAAAATCTCCGACGTCAGGGGCATTATAAAAAAATATGTGATGGAGCTTTCATTTTTTTCATAATTTTCCCAAGAATTCCTGTACAGTTTGAGTTGCCATAACTACTAAACATCCATACATCATTTCTTTTAAGCTTAAAATCTATTAAACAAGCAAAGCATATTCTTTGGCTTTTTTTTTGGGGGGGGGGGTGGAACTGAAGGTGTTTATGAGATATTGTGTGACATTGGTGACTCTTCCCGCATAGCCTTTTCACGTTCTTTACAGTCCGGATAAAGTTTTTGTTGATAATCTTCCCGTCCTCCATTATAGCCTTTTCACAGACGTCTTACTGTCTAAAATTCCAATTTGCTTTTCTCAGTCCCATGTTGGTGATTGACAACTGAATGAAGCGTTTGACACCATAACGGTAAGAAAAAAACTCTTGCAGAGATATATTTGATCTTGTTGATGAATGCGCTGACTACTAAGATGATTGCTGGACGTGGGAGCACTTTGATGCTACTAATCGATTTCAAAAAAAAATTTGCCGACATCAATGACAAAAAATAAATTGTCATACATTAATTTTATTACCAAATCCAAGTGGAAAGAGCACAAAAGTAGTTTTAAATGTTGAAAACATCGAAGGATGTCATGCTTTGTTGATATTTCGACCGCCATGATTAAATTTGGGGTCAGACTAACAACAGGAAACGGACAGTATTGCTAGGTTTTACTATACTAAGGAAATTATTTTTAGTCTAGACAATGTGTAAACGTAATTTAAATAAGACATGTCTTACAACTCTTATTTTTTAATAACATTTAGTTACTTTAAAAACATGCAATCCCAAGAATAGATGCATGTAATAAAAGGTGGGACTAATATCAGTAATACACCCATTGAATGAAATTTGAAAAAAAAATCCAACTATTTCCATATATTGTTTAAAGTTAAGTAAACGAAGTATTGTTTTTCACTTTTTCTAAAAAGGAAAATCAATAAACATTTTTGTTTTGACATACAAAGATAGATATGCAGATTATAGTATTCCAGATTTGTTTAGTAAGTACTAGTGCATTTTGTTCCATGAAGCAAAAGTTCCAATATCAAGGAGTATGTACAGGACAATATTGAATTTCTAAAATTTTAACAGCAATTTGATGTCAAAAAGAAAAAAAATAAAATATTTTTCCTACCTACCTACCCTGCCAAAAATCTGGATCGATAAAGGGCAAACAAACAATATTTTAATTTAGGCCTAATATGTGTATAAAAGCGCCTGGTGCAGGTGATTAATGAGGATTTACTTAATATCTTTTGTGGAAATATGTACGAGGAGTTTCCCCTCTAACTGAATTTTGCTTGGGAAAAATGTATGATGGCTTTGTTTTAAAACAGATGACGATATTCAGCGGAAAATACTCTCAGATTTGTCGGTAAGTTGAAGTAAATGTAAATTAAATTGTACCAAAGAAATAATATAACTTTTACCAAGCACAGTTAGGGTTTATAAGGATCCAACGAGTTTATGTGACAAAAAATTAATAATAATTGTGTTAATAACCTGCGCCGAAGTGATTTATGTGAAATATTCCAAAAAAGAAGAAATGACAATCACTTGATCAAAAGGTCATGTGATATCGTAACAAAAATGTTTATATATAGCCTAGATAACACTCTATATGAATTGGGCGTACGTAAGTACATAGCTTAAAATAAAACTTAAAATCAACTTTGCAATGCAGTGTTAGGTTTTAATTGCATTTTTAGCTCCGGGAAGCCTTAACATTACTGCGTATTTGTAGACAAATGTAACGAATACACCAGGTTACTAAATGTTTTATTATGCATATTTTGGATCTATGTTGGAGATTTCTCGAGCATTACACAAAATGCTCCGTAAATTCAGGAGATGTCATATTCACATTCGTTTTCAAGGGAATCACATCGGAGAAAAATCACTATATTTCTGTTAGTTCTTACAATATCACGTCAGAAATGTAAATAAATATTAATAGAATAATACAGAGATAAATTTGAGAAAATTGTCGAAAAATATCACGAATCATAGAAAATTTAATAAATTAAATTTTGGATTCCGCATGCTTTTGTTTCAGTTTTTTTTGTCGTGCTTCATACCTCTCCATCAGCGATATCAACATAGCGATTTTTTTTTTGAATTTTTTTTTTGAATTACAGAAATTCTGCCCAAAACTTATTGGAATCTTACATATATACATCTATATGGCGTCTGTAAGAATAAAAAATAGCAGAGTCCGCGTAATTTGTGAACGGCCCTCGTACTTGAACTCTTAACATTGACCTTCGAGTTTTATCTACTTTTGCAAAATATACCGAATTTTTACAATGGGAACAACTTTTGAAATGCTTGAGGCAGGGCTGTTAGATTTCATTGGTTTATTCAATATGCAAGGTCCTTTCTCCAAAAACCAATATTTCCATCAATT